TTTTATTTGCAGTCCAGAATCCCAGAATTTATAGAGTCTGTCTTAGTTACTATTGCGAAGAGGGGAAAAAACCCCAGTGAACTCTATTAAAAAGATTGATGCATGGCTACAAGAGCTCTTGACAATTGAGATTTCTCTCCGAAGTGTTGTTTAACATATGTATGGCAAAAGAAATGCAGGGGAAGGAAGCAAATTTTCTTATGAAATTTTGAAGTACTTTGAATCTAGCAAAATAATGAAATGATTTAAACACAAATTCTGTGTAGCTGAGAAAGCAGAACATTCATGTTTTATAAAGCTAGAATTCATGCCAGGAAACAAAAGCAAAAATATTTCCTAGGTATTTAAGCTATAGGTAGGCTATGTGGCTATGACAGTTGGGTCTGCTTAAACTACTCTGGTCACCTATTCAGTTGAGTTACTGTCTGGGACAAGACATTTCTGTTTTGAGCTTCTAAGCTGATAGGTTACACTTCCTGTGACCTGCATGCTCCAGTAAATGTCATTTAGAAGGCAAAGTCACCTTTCTCTTCCTTAAGCTGACATGTTCCTTACTGGATGAGACTGATTGTTGTTCTGTGGACTCTATCTAATACTGCTTTGTACATTGGAACCAGTTTTATCCTTAAAAAAGCTTTGCAATGTGTAACATATTCACTGCTGATTTAAGTTTTGTATAACACCAACTGCTTAGGTCAAATCAGTCATTTCTGAACACTGTTGTGACATGCTACTACCTGGTAGGTTATTCTTCTTCCTCTTAGATGTTTAAGTCTTTCAGGCAGGTTGTTATTTTATTCTTCTTTTTCTGTCAGCTGGATCTTTGGCTCTTCAGTCTTTTACATAAGTTAACAGTCCTGATAATGTTAGTGAAAGCTTAAAGTCCTCAGTAGTACAACATAGCAAGTTCATGGTTAATTCTTCTGTTCAAATTAATCCTCTCTGTTCTCCAGTTATTTTGTTTATGTCTTTAAGTATCAACAGTTTACCATGAACTTTCAGGTAAAGAGATGCCTAAGCCTGAATTTTGTTCCAGTTACATATCACTTCTGATTCAGTTTTCTATGAAAGGAGCAAGTATCTAAAATCTTTACATTTATTAACATGTGTTTCCCTTATTTTTAAAAATTTTTATTTGCTATTTTTTTTTTTTTTTTTTTTTTTTTTTTTTGAGGTCTACTTATATTTCAAACTCTCCATTATCCAGATAATTTTAATTTAAGCATTTTGGGAGACTAAAAGTTGTGTGTTTGAGGTTATAAGATAGAAAACTGACTTGGTTCAAACCGTTCTGATTATTAGTTCTTTTTTCATTTCTGTTCTCCTAATTATGATTGCAGAACCTCCTAGCTTTTAGGATGCATTTTTCACCTGCACTAAATCACAGCTTCACAGTCCAAACCAGAACAGTTCTAGCAGGCTGTGTTTATGTTTGTTTACGTATTACTGCTCTGCTTTATTTGCTCAAAATGCAGTGACTTAAAATAATACTTATGTGTAGTTATGTATTTCAGAATTTCAATTCGGCTGTCAAGTCACTTTTACACATTGTACAGAGGTGCAATGTGAGTCTTATCACATTGTGAACAGTAGTTATGTTAGAAAACATTGGGTATATTTTCAGCCCGAATTGTCAGTTAAACATTTAGGCCCCCAAAGACCTCCACCTCCTCTTGTGTAAAATAATGTGTTACAGGTAGACCCATGTTCTCCAGAGTTCTATAATGGTCTTGAAAATATTCTTGAAGATGACACTGCAGACTCTTGAATGATTTTGATACTAATTATTTCCTCATGGGTTACACAGCAAGTGGATGGTAAACCATAGTAATACCTTAATAGTTGATGCCAATATATCTCTTGGGTTTGCTGTGCAGGGTGGGTTGATTAGCTGCTTTGTGTAATGCAGTTAGCTAGCTGATCCTCTGACCTATCTTCTACCTGCCAGCTATTTTATGATCCATCCAGAAAGGCAGAGATGCCACTGACTAGCTATCTGTGTTAGACTGATGTTGGTCTTGATTTCATCACTGAACAAAGTGGGTAGCCACCATCACAGAATATTTTCTTTCAAATTGTCCTTATTTGCTTCAGCCCAGCTGTTTGCTTGACTTTGGAGGAGGTAGTTTGACAGCCACTTTTATTTTATAGTGTTGTGTTCAGCAGGGTTGGTTACAGATACTCCAAGAGATAAATGGTGGTGAAATGAAATGATGGTTCATCTAATATTCAATTACATATATGTCTTTCATTTCTTCACCCTGGCCACCTGCCCAGCACAAATAGATGCATATTGTTCCCTAAATGAATTACACTGGTTCTAAACTGCTCCGCAATTTGATACTTACAAGGGTTTTGTGTTTATTTGCTGGCACAGGCTGCTCTAAAGATATTCAACCTTCTGTGTTTTGGCTTCTATTACACTCATTACCTTGAAAAGTAATTATGCAAATATCACACTTGTATTAAATACAGGCAAGTTTTTACTTATTTATAAACATCTTGAAATTTCAATTTCAGGGCATGCAGCTGAAAAATGTCTGCATAGGGTGAGAAATGGTGCTGCCTCCCCACCTATTGCTGCAACTAAGCAGCAAGTAGTAGATAAGCAAAATTGCTCTATTCTTTGCCTTGCCTGCTTATTGAAAGGAGGAGTGCAGTAAATTGGGCTGTAGACATCCAGTCACCATGGGATTTGCCTCTGCTCACAATAGGCAGGCACTGAACTGTATGTGAAGATCTTAACACATCTTTTTCTCCCATGAAAATAGAGGTAACCCTGGAGAAAAAAGCAAAGCGAGCTGAGATAGAGATGTTTGAAGGGTAATTTGTTTGAAAAGAAACATGGGCTTCCAGCAGCCCCACAATAATTAATAAAAATCTTAAAGCTTGCAGGGTTGGACTGATTCTGATCTCTTAGCGATATTGATAAAATGTTGCCCTATTTAAGTAATCCGAGTCACTGTTTACACGAAATGGGAATTGGAGATTTGCTTTGCTGTTGCACAGAACTGTGTACTGCAAATTGCATCTCTCCAGAACTGCTGGGTACAGAAGGCTGCTATTATCAATGGATAGCCAGGGGGTGCAAAGGGTTTTTATACAGTTGATCCAAATTGCAGTCTTATCCATCTACAGAGAAATATACTAAAAGGAATACCAGATGGGTGAGCTTCTGGAGAACTGTAGGTCATCAGCAAAAACTCACATGTCCTTGAAAAAGGCATAAATGTTGCTGTCTGGGGAATGGGTTGAAAAAGACATGAGTATTGAAGGAATAATTGGGCTTTACTATCTGGAGGGCTCAGACATTTAGACTTCTGCAAAAATCTATCAGAAGTTTTAGATTGCAGGTGCTTTTCATGTGTGATGATCAGGCCCCTTTTAAATGTTTCAAAATACATTTCTCAAAATCAGACACTGCTATAATTGTTCAATAGATTTGAAAATGCAGACCTCTTTCGCTTTTAATAGCCTTTACTCCTATCTAGAGACTTTGCTGAAAGAAAAGTATGCTGTCAAGTAAAAGCTGCACAGAGATCCTGGCAAGAACATACGTATTAACTGAAGCATCACTAATAAGTCACTGGCTAGCACAAGACAGAGAACTAGCTGCTCTCAGACTTCAAATTTTGGCTTTGTTGACTGTTTGATTGGACTCTTTTTATTACATTAGCTATCCATAAAGTGGGTAGAATATTACTACCTTGCAGCAACTATGCAAAGCTAAACCAGAGCTTCCGAAATGAAAGATGCAATGGAAAAATGATATATTAATAATAAATATACCTAAGTTTTATTGTTTGCCTTAAGGAAGGTAGCAGGAGGTTCAAGACTTCATGTGCAGTATTCATAATACAAGATTCTCCTTTAATAGATTTGTTCTGTGTTGAAGGTAAGACACAAACATACAAATGGACAGAAGGGGTTTAAAAGAGCTAGTAGTGGCCCTGATCCTGTTTCCATTCCCATGTAAATGCCCTACTTGATTGGACTGGGGCAAAGGGAGTTTGTAAATGTGTTTAAACACATGTATGTGTATATGTAAATACGTATATGTGCAGGCATATATGGAGAGAGGTGTGTGTAAGTACATGTATATGTTTGTGTGAAAATATAGATAGCTTGCTAGATATGAATACCTGGTTGGTATGGCTGAAGTGAAAGAAAGGAACCATGTGAGATCATCCATGCACAGAGGACGTTAGTTATTACTCTTGATTATTTCAATATAGAAACTTGATGTGGATCTAGTAACTCCTGATCAGTGGATCAGAGCTGCTATGACTTCTAATTTTATTTGCAGCTACTTTTAACAAGTTGAAACGCTGCAACTCACGTGACCTTCACAACAGTCAAGTAAACCCAAACATTATTAAGTGTATAAGGAGATCAAATTTTGTCTGTTCTAATTCTTGTACTTGTTCTGCCAGGGCCCTTCTATGTGTGTATGTGTGTTGCACTTAAGCTGAGTGAAGCTGAGACCAGAAGTGTATATGTACAGAGTAACTTATTTTGTGCTTTAAAAATATGCAAAGTGTGATACAGGCTCCTGCAGCTCTTTATGAACTGGTATTGAATGGTCTCATAGGGAATAGTAATCGGACTGTTAACTTACAATGCAAATACATCATTTATTTCCTTTAAGCTGCAGAGGTCCCTCAAGTATAATGGGTTTTATACTATATTCTTATGCATGGCATAGCATTTTCCTTAGGTCTTGGTGCTACATCTGGAAAAAGAAAAGCTAACGTTAGCGCAGTTTTTGGTTGATGATGATGATGATGATGATTATTATTATTATTATTAATTATTAATTTGCCAGAAAGAAATAATAGTCTGAAGAGCTCACCATTAGATCTTTATCTGCTCACTTCAGTGGGAATGGGATATTGCATAAGGAAGCATAGACCTTTTTCAGTTCCTTGAGAAAAAAAAAAAAAATCACTATTTTCATTTCTTTGTCTATCTATTTGGTGTATGCAGAGCACCCTGAATACTCTTCTACTTGCCCACCCATCTTCCATTTTCCCATATTCATCTGAAGTGATTATCTGCAAGTAGAAAACAAGGATGTATTAAAGTAAAGAAGAGGTACATGTGTTTATTATTTTGGGGATAGGATTTAATTAGTGTCTGTTTTCAAAAGAACTTACCACTTACAGATGTATTTTCAAAGCAGTCCAACTGTCATCTGTGTTGAACTTTGGGATGTCTAAGTACTTATTTTGGAGGCAAATTGTCTGGTGGCAAATGTTACAGGGATTAATACAATATATAGCCATTAGGTTCTGGCAGCTGGTCATTTAGGGAAAGAGTTTCAGATATAACCACAGGATTTAGATGCCCACATCCTATTACAAGTAATTTTGCTTTTGGCTTCTAAGGTAATTTTGAAAAATCTCCTTCCAGAGGTTTAATCAACAAGAGTATGACAAAAAGTTAGAAAGCAACAAACCCTTTATTAGAATTATCACTGTTTCTGTGGTTGACAATCTCAAGAGACAGATTAAGGGCCACAAAGTGTATTGGCATTTGTGGCAGCCTGCGCAGGCTGCTGCTGTCATTAAGGGGTGGGGGAGCACATCTTCCAAGAGTAATAGTACTGGCATCAACTAGAGTAATGATTGCAGAATTCCAGCATTTTCCCTTTCTGTTTTTCTAACTGCATCCTTAGTGTTTCTCATTCCTCCTCCTATGGCAGAGGCAGCCAAATCCTTTATCTCGAGGGCAACAAATTTTTGCCTACTTTGTTGAAAGTCCCCAGGGAGCACTGAATTTCATCCTTTGAGGAGTCCTTGTCACTTGCCTTATGACATAGTTTTGCATGGTTTGCCAAGGCTGTTTAATACAGCAGTTTGGTTGACAAGGCTGCCTTTGGTTTCTTCCACTCATCCAGGATCTTCCACCACCTCAACACGTACTCAAAAATATCCCTTACCCAGGACAGTGCAGTGTAATTCCTTCAACTGACTTTTAAATTAGGATCCAGTTGCCAAAATCACGAATATCTTTTGCCAGTTTAGGTGTTCAAGGGTAACCTGGCTTCTTCCTAGCTGCTGCTCAAGAAGTGCATTTTACAAGTCTGGTGTCATCTGTCAGCCCTGTGCAGATGTGTTAGATACCTTCAGGCACTTCCTGAGGCATTAAGAGCCTATATTGAATCAACTGTATTGAACTCCTCTTGGGCAAAGAGATCACGCCATCGGTAGCAGCTTCTGTGATCATGGAACAAGGATATGGTGGTTCTTCCATGGTGCTTCTTCCATGGTGCTTCACACACTGACAAAGGGCTGACACTGAGGAAGTTGTGATTCAGCTGTAAGCCAGCAATCATGTTACTGGGCTAAGAGAGAAGTTCTATCACTCCTAAAAGCACAGAGACTATATGAGGGCTTCATACAGACTTGGGAAATCTGCTTGTAATACTAGTTAAACAATGTAGTTGAATAACCTCTTCTGTTGGACTTGATATTTTGGGGTATCAGTGGCATGGCATCAGCTTTAGTTCAAAGAATAAAATATTAGCTGCTGTCTAATGAAACTTTCTGTGACCTTCTACCTCTTCATAGCTTGGTGCCTGGGCTCCTGTGACGTGTCGTAGCCATCACAGTTACATTCCCTCACAAACTTAGTAACTGTTACATATGAAGAATGATATTTCTCTGACTAAATCCCCAATTTAAAATCAAATACTACATTTTCTTTTGAAAAAATTTCTTCCAGACTTTCTGTGTAGTGTAACTGGTAAAGTAAAATAGTCTGATATTATGCAAAAGGTACAGTGGTAGTTATTTTTTTGAAAGAAGATTTATAAAAGTCTGTCATACATGCTGTCTCATTTTCATTTGCTATGAAACTCTTTACTTCTGTAAATTACAGCAGATGTTAACTGAGTTTGTGTTTCTGTGGAATATTGATATGACTGTACTGTGTGCAGAAAGAACAATTTTCAGAAGAAAAATCAATATCACATTCCAACGTGTTAGGTTTTAAAAAAAGAAACTACTGTGCTCAGTGTTTTAAGTATAGGAAGTATAGCAGTCCAGGAAGGTGTTGTTTGTCATTAAAACTCATGAAGTGTGAGGGATGTCTGAATACTGTTTCAGAGTTAAGGCTCTTACTCTCTAATGTGATAAGGGACAAGAGGCCTGGAAAGGGACAACGCTTGGTGCAACTAATACAGAAAAAGGCTGTGAAATGTGGTTGGAACCAGCAGCTACGATTCTCTTGGAAGCCATCTGCTTTTTATGCACTGCAGCTCCTCAATACACCCTTTACTGAAAATTTATCAAGGAGAAAGTATGAATTAAGTATGTATTTTTTCAGCAAGGCATGAAAAACTAAAGGTGACTTCAGCAAGAGCTCTGGGATGCTTAAAGGGTGTTAAAGTGAATTCATTAGATGTCTTAACTTTCAACACCTTTTTGAATACCTTTCTACTCCTTTTAACTTTTATCTTGCAACACTTTTCCTCCTCTTCAAAAACAACAATAAAGGAGACTCTGTTGAAAGGTGTCAAAGAATATTCTTATTTTTCTGTTTGTGTCCGCTCTTCTAATGATTGCCACCTTGTTCTAACATGAAAGCTTCTGCATCTGACACTTCATACCCTTACTCTGTGTATTCAGAGAGATTAGTGCAAATGCAGTCTCAGCCCTTGAAGCAGTATGAATTACAGTGACTTGGCTGATGTAATCATGACACAGCATCCCTGCTAGAAAAAATTAGAAATATTCTACTTAGGTCAAGCAGTTGCAAACTGAATTAGAAAAACAATGTATGGAAAAATCCAGTGTAACTATTATTATCACTTACCTAGATAAATGAATAGCAGTATTCCATTTAAGAAGTCTTCTTCATAAATACATGGGGTAAAAAACAATTGTGGAGGCAAGAAGATCAAGGTAAGTATATGAAGAATGTACAGTACCTTACAGATCTCACTCCATTGTCCTCGACCATTTGCATTGACAGCACAGACTTTAAAAAGATATTCTGCATTTGGATCCAGATTATGTATTTCAAGGTTCTGCAGCTGTATTTTGTTTGGCTGCCCAGCTAGTTGTGTCTGGGCAGTGTTGTCGGGACCAATACAAGCAACTTTATAAAACTCTACCTCATATTTACTGTCTTGGAACATCCCTGTTAGGCATATTTTAATTATGAACTGTCAATGCAGCTGAAATTCCAACCATAACATCAAAATATATGTGGAAGATAATGCAGTTTGTGTTCTTGGAAAATGCTAAGCTTCCTCCTGGGAATTTCATACTATCCTCTTCTAACACACTAAAAGTAATGTAGGTTGACAGCAGTCAGCACTTTGCAACACGCACTTGGGATCTTAGGCAACAAGCATACTGATCTGGTTAGCATCTATAAATGTATAATGAGGAAAATTTCATGAATATGATGTGGTCACACTGAAGGCCAAGACCACAATTGAATTATTTGATCCGACATACAGATATTTAAATACAAACATGGTATATCTATTTCTTTCTGATTGGACCTTTCCATGTAACATATTCATATCACGTATATAATAACATCAGAACCCTATTGACTACAGTAGAATGTGATATGAATCAATTTATGCTTCAGTTCATCTAAAAAGGTAAATTTGAAATGTACTGTCTCCTACAAATAAAGTTTTGGAATTGATATTGTAGTCTTATTTACGCAAACTTGTATGGGTTCAGATTTCATAAAAGCCTGAAAATCTAATGATCTCTTCTATATATATTTAGAATTTATTAATGTCTTACGTTGTCAGATCTTGAGTAAACAACAGTCTGATATATAACAACAGGTCCTGGGACTGGGACTGTCATTCTCCATAGGTTCTGGATTTGAAAAGTTAACAATCTGATATTTTCTTTCTTTTCCTGGAGTTTCACAAGCTGTATTCCACTACTCACATCACTTCATTACTCTGTGTAGGATGATGGGGATGTGTAGAGCTTAGTCTTCTGACAGTGTCCTTAGACAGCACACCTAAATCAAACATGGAATCTAAAAATGGGCTTCAGAATAATGTTGCTTGCTTGGATTCGTGAGTACTTGAAACATGCCTTGGAACATTATCTCTAGGTTAAAAGAATAGGGATATTTTTCTGCTTTACTTTCTGACTGCTTTATGCTGCTAAGGGATGGGACAAGTCTATGTAAAACAGAAGAAAAAATCATCCAAGTTGAGTTGATGTTTTCTTAAGGGATCTTCTCTTACATGTGCACTAGGTTGGAAAATTGAAGAAACTGCATTTTCTATTTCTTTCACCAATCATTGTGCAGATTGCAGAAACACAACCTGACTTTCTTCCTTAAGAGCCTCTTTAGAGTATCAAATAAGGCCATCCATATATGATAGCTGATTGGATGTATAACTTATGTATTCTGAAATATCTTTCTGTTTTTTAAGTTCAATGTTTTCAAGCAACTCCATCATCATCTTTTCTTGTTCTTGATGAACCATACATAATTTTAATAATCCATTTCTGATCTCCTTTCTTTTGATGACCTTATAGGTCCTGAAATTATATTTTAACAGAATGACTTCCATTAGGCCATTATCAACACATTGATGTACTGTGGAAAAAAAAAAATCAGGTCAGTCATTCCACATTCTTATTAAAACATAGTGGTTACAAGAGGCAGAATGATAGATTTTAGCCTAAAAAAAATCCTGTTTGGTAGAACATGGGAGAAGAATAAGCATTCTGGTATTTTTCTCATTTTCTGCTGTTGATGAGCCCTGAGGGAAGTTATTTGGGTTAAAATGTTCACATTTAGGTGTATAAAATTTAGCAGTTAATTGCTACTTTATTGTTATTTCCTCACTTACTCAAATTTATCTTCCCCAAAATGGGCTTGGTAATTTTTCCTTCATTACATGGGAAATCCTGAAGCTGAATTTATTGTAGCTCTATATTATCTTTGAAAATTCATTATGACAGTAGGGAGTTAAAATATTGTCGGCAAATGTACCTGCATAGCCCACATTATGTCTGTGGCTGACAGTACGTTCCTCTGATGGCCGTTATGTGAAGGTGTGATTAACTCTTCTGACACTAAACATTGTGAACTGTGATGGAAAGAATCAAAAGTACCAAAGACCGATAGCAAATTCCAGTGGTATTCAGCTAACATCAGGAAACAATTTCACATTACAAAATCCTGCACAAATATTATACATTACTTTTCTCAAACTTAAGACTATTTAAAAATTGAGAATTTAATGTTTCCAGCTGTTTCTCATTGTGAATGGTTCACTTTTACCTTTCTGAATGTTATTTTCTGTGAAACTTCATTATGTTCCCAACATTTGTGAAGTTATATGCAAAGATCAAAATTAAAAGACATTGATAAAACCATAGTCTGTGTTCAGTCCCTTAGTTGCTGTGGGTCAAGTCTTAGTTAAAATGGGTGACACCTCAGAAAAATGTGACTGCTTTGACTCATAGCATGGGCATAAGCATAAAACGGACTGAAGAGGGACAATTAATAACTTGCCTGCAGATGAAGAAGCAGTTCATCTTCAAACGTCTATTTCTGATTAAAAGATATTCACCATTATATTCTGCGGATGTAATTGGTGTTTTTTCCATGCTGGGTCCTGCAGTATGAAATGAAAATTTCCCTTCCTAGATGCACATTTCTGTTCCCATCCCACAAACAGATCTTTCATTCTGTAAGAGTTGAGCCTGTCTCATGACGCCACCATTATGGGTTTTTGTGTTTCCACAGTGGGAACACGTCACCTTTCTGACTCTTGTGCTGTGCAAAGAATGAATATAACTTGTTAACCATATGTTCAAGTTTCTTTCCCAAGGAGGCATGGGAAAGTGTGAGAAGCAACAGAAATACACACCTGTTCTAAATTTTGCAATTGTATCAGAGGGAAGCAGGCTCTCTTGAACACGTGACTGCCAAGGGAATAGTCTCATGATGGTTGTGCAGTGAGTTCTTGCAGGACCCACAGATCAGGTCATGGCCACCCAGACAGTATTCAGAGAGGTTTGAGTTGCTGTGCAGTAAGCAGCGCCTCTGTTCACAAACTTCTTGATGTGCTTTGGTGAAAATGTGGTCTTGAGCACCATTATTGCCATGATTTAAATGCAGACGTTCATTACAATAATTGATTCCACATGTTCTACACCTTTTGGTTGTCACTCTTCTCTCCCTGCAAGTTTCACAGTCGCTATGGTCAAATCTCCACCTCAGAAAACTATGTCTGCGCATCTATTTCTTGTCTAGTTTTGCTTTTCCTCAGCTGAATTTTATTTGTGTAGGGGAGGCAATGTGCTTTGCTACACACTGGGCATATGATATAGAAGTTTTCAGTTACTTCAGCTTTGGTCTTGCTTTTAGTTATGCACTTCTCACCAATGCAGTGATTGAATGGCAGCATAAATGGTTGGAAACAATTGCTTACAGAGTGGACAGGCAAGCTGGTCACAGAAAACATGGCTGGTGTAATGACAGGTGCATTATTCCTAGTTCTGAATCTTGAGATGACATCTTTTGATCTAAATAAAGTTGGAAAAAAAAATCAACCAAACAACTCCAAGAACTCAAACAAAAATATTCGAGTATTAGGGCACCATCTAAGACACTAAATTATAAGATAAGCAATTCTGCTTTGCATACCAACCATCCTTTTATTGTGACTGGATATTTTGTTTAAAGAATTGGGTTATCACTATCAAGAATCAATTTTTTTTTCTTGTCCTTTTCTTAATTCTTTCACTATATGTTGAATGCTGTTGGCAACAATAACCGTAAAGCGTTATCTCAGTCGTTGTAGGTCTGTATGGATTTGAGTTCTTGCTGGTGGCCAGGTGAAAAGAGGAATGCAGTTTATACAGAGTTAAATGTATTTTGTCTCCTTTTCTTGTTTGATTATTTTTTCAAAATGAAAACAACAAATAACTAGAGTGAAGAAATAAATTTTGTGCAATTCAAATGAAACTTTTTATTTTGTTTCAGAACGTATAAAATGCTTTCTAACAACTTTGACAATGGTTTTAGAATATTTCCTTTTTAATGAAAACTTAAGACAATAAATGTCAAAAAGGTTTTCTTTTGCATTTTGAAGATGCAGTATTTCCTCAAGAAGGTAGCACAACAGCTTCAGCATTTCCACTTAACGTCGTAACACATATTTACCTGTGATCATCCTAACTTGTAGTCATTTAAAAAATCACCTCTGAATTATTTCTGATTTCTAGAATGAATTAAGTTTATTTTTAGTGTTAGTAGCAGCCTTAACACCAATTCTTTATGATAATTGCAAAGGCTTTCAAATGGGTTTTCTTTTTTTTAAATTATTATTTTAGAAGGGGACTGATTTTCAGGATGTGCTAATCGTTGTTCTCTTCAAATCTTGATAGTCCTAACCTGCCTCTTAATCTGTGGACATTATCCTTTAAAAAAGATATTAATTTTATAATGCCTCCTCAATATTTTCCATAGCCTTGACATAAGCATCATTATTCAAGATGGACACCTAGTTCTGGGCCTCTATGGTCTGGCTCTCTGCTGTGCATTTCTTTAGCATCTATGTTGTTATTGCTTTCCTTCCCTTCCCACCTTCTCTCCTCAAATGTTCAACCATGCTATCTGTGCTTTCTGTCACTCTAAACAGAAAAACCCTAATAAACTAAAGAGACTAGAATCTTTGGTTGCTATGAAGATTCCTTCTTGCCTTCAGAGTTTACCAAGGTAGGGATTAACCATACATTTCCAGAGGTCCTGTCAATTCCTTTTGGTTTGGCACTGTTTAGTCTGGAATTCTTCCATTAACTTCATTTCTGCCTTCTTCTTCCCCCACCCATACTTGTGAGTGCTCCTTAGTCTAGCATTTCTATGGTTAATAATCAGCCCCTTCCCTCCTGGTTTCCAGTTTTGTCTTCTAAGACTATAATTATGTCTTCTTTCCATTCTCTGTGTGACATTTCTTGAGCCTTTATAGCTATTTGTCTTCTTTTTGTCTTATTCTGAATATAACTGCTTCCTTCTGCTTCCAGTTAACAGCAGCTTACTAATCTTTGATTTTACTCCAGTTTTCCTTGTATCCTTGTCTGCAGCCCCCTTGCTACAAACACATTCCTGTTTTCCTCCTTGTTCTCAGGTTCTCTTTTCCTTCATGTCGCTGCACAGGTTTTTACACTGTGAGAATACATAAGCATATGTTGGCCATTCATGGATTTTGTCTGGAAATCAGGTGGTCCTAATTACAAGTGCAATGATGTTCTGGAGTCGTCTTCGCCCCAGTCAGAGTAATAATATCCTGTGGTTATTCGAAATGGCTCCAACATGCCAACAGACTGTGTTTTCTAAATGCAACACATCTGTTAAGATATAATGCAAATTAGAAAAACAAAACCCCAAGAAATTTTAAGAGCCCTTAACTCCACTTACTGAATAGCTCCTGGTGTTCCTGAGTGATGTGGTTCACCATCAGAGCTTCTGCAGCACTTGCTTTCATAATACTGACATGCTGAATTCTCTCCACCAGAGCAGCAGCACTTGCAGTCTGGGTCATCTGAAAAAGAGCAGCAGCAGCACCACCAGCAATCTGTGTGCTCTGCACATGAGCAGTGGCAGCACTGGCAAGGTTTATCTTTCTACAGACATGGAAAACAGCTACAGTTCTGCTCACTGGTAAACAAGAAGTGCCAACATGGGCAGTGTTCTTTCTTTCTGTGTGTCGTCAGGTAATGGCAGTTTGAGCATCATGGCCAGATCAAACAGGGATGCCCTTTTTCATCCACCTCTCTGTCAGATACTTGGAAAAAAGTTCACTGATCATTTCAGCTTTTTTGTACAATACAGCAGCTAAGCTCCAAAAAGGCACAAGCTCTGACTGTGGGGTCAAGCTCCGTGCTGTGGTGATGTGCTTCATTCTAATCAGAAGGTGACGTCACGGTGTGGTATTCAAATAAGGACACAGGCAGAATTGTATGCACAGGTACATGATATAGTGATTACATCATCTGTACATCGCAATAACTATAATTGTTCTTCCTGAATTTCTTGGAAGCATTTACCTCACTCTTCATTAATTCATGGGGAGTTTATACACTTGGATTAGGTACTCTAAAGCCACTATCTTGTTAGGATCACACATTTCATAGACATTTTGACCACTCAGCTTGGTGCTACAAGCAAACCACCGGAATCAGGCCTTAACCAGCAATAGTGAGAGGTTTCTCATCAGGCTCCTATGAGACTTTAAGCATAACTAGCACACATGAAAGAACCTTACACTTGAGATGCATTTTTAAGCATATCGTCGTAGCTGTCTTAATTATTTTAAGCTCTTGTCTGCCACTGTTATGCTCTTGAACAATGTATGGCATTCTTTCTCCCAAGGCCTGATGAAGAGAATTCGACTTGAATTGTAGATACAGTGTTGCTCATTTGCTGTGAACCTGCCCCTTTTTCCACTCAGTCCAAGTGTGACTCTTGCCCTTCCTTAAGCTGGCCACTCTCCTATAAATGTACTACCAGACATATTATTTGTATTATTGTTTAGTTACTTTGTATTAGATGCTTTTTTCTTTCATTTAGTTGATTTATTCCAAGATTAATGTAGCATTTTTAACCTATTTATACATATGATAATTTTAAAGAAAAATGAAATATCTGTAAAGAATAGATGAGCCTTTCAATATTGCATGCTTACTATAGTGCTTATATGTAAGTGGTTGCACTCAATGATCTTTAAGGTCTTTTCCAACCTAAATGATCCTATGATTCCAAAAAAGGAAATCTGCCCTCTAAGAGTTTATCTGCAACTGACATATCATAGAATCATAGAATCATCTAGGTTGGAAAGGACCCTGCAAATCATCTAGTCCAACTGTTCGCCTAGCACAGTTCCCACCTACAGCATATCCTTAAGCTCTAAATCGACCCTACTCTTAAACACCTCCAGGGATGGGGCCTCCACCACCTCCCTGGGCAGCCCATTCCAACGCCCAACAACCCCTTCTGTAAAGAAATGCTCCCTAATATCTAGTCTGAACTTTCCCTGGTGCAACTTGAGGCCATTCCCTCTTGTCCTGTCGCTTTCTACTAGGCTAAAGAGGCTCATCCCCAGCTCTCTGCAACCTCCTTTCAGGTAGCTGTAGAGGGTGATGAGGTCTCCCCTCAGCCTCCTCTTCTCCAGACTAAACAATCCCAGTTCCCTCAGCTGCTCCTCATAGGACATGTGTTCCAGACCCTGCATCAGCTCTATTGCCCTTCTCTGGACACGCTCGAGTCATTCAATGTCCTTTTTGTAGTGAGGGGCCCAAAGGAGCCCTGACCCAAGCCAGGATGCCATTTGCCTTCTTGGCCCCCTGGGCACACTGCTGGCTCCTGTTCAGCCAGCTGTCAATCAACCCCCCAGGTCCCTCTCTGACTGGCAGCTCTCCAGCCACTCCTCCCCAAGCCTGTAGAGCTGCTGGGGGTTGTTGTGGCCCAAGGGCAGCCCCCGGCATTTGCCCTCAGTGAAACTCCTCCAGTTGGGCTCAGCCCATGGCTCCAGCCTGTCCAGGTCTCTCTGCAGAGCCTCCCCACCCTCGAGCAGATTAACACTCCCACCCAACTGGGTGTCATCTGCAAACTGACTGAGGGTGCACTCGATCCCCTCATCTGGATCATCAGTAAAGATGTTAAACGGGAGTGGCCCCAAAACCGAGCCCTGGGGGACACAACTCGTGGCCGGCCGCCAGCTGGATTTAACTCTGTTCACCACAACTCTCTGGGACAGTTTTTTACCCAGCGAAGTGTGCGATTGTCCAAACCTCAAGCAGCCATTTTTTGCCAGGAGAATGCTGAGGGAAACGGTGTCAAAAGCCTTGCTAAAGTCAAGGTAAATTATGAAACAGCTCATTCTCTTACTTGAAACTGTAAAGGACAATGATATCTGTATGACACATATTCAAGAATACTAACTTTTGATGCTGGCTTCTGTTCTGTAGGTAACTAAATTTTTCCAAAATTTAACAATTCAACTGTTGGTAATGAGTTAATGTATAATTGGGAGTTACTAAGATAGGTCTTGACATAGTTTATTGTAAGAGTTCCTTTGAGCCTATTTGCTCAAAGTTTGTTCTACCTAGAGAAATTTTAATTCACTAATCCAGAGCCTTACAGACTGTAATGACTGTGTCATTATGTGTAACCATTTACATGATGAGCTATAATAGGTTCTTGGAATGGTTATAGCCTATTGTGTCAATTGGATTTTCATGCATAAGTACTAGATCTGTGTGCTGAACAGCTTTCCATAGTATAACCTGAACTTTTAATGGATATTATTTATTCCATTTGTCTTTCCAGTCTAATCAATGGTAATGCTTTTTTATTGTGCAGATTTAATTTTGGGATATTGAAAGGCTTTTAAATTAAATCATTAGAAAAAATGTATCTTGTGATGCTTGCCTGCTTTTCTTTTGTGAAATATTCATGAATACAGAGGGAGTTTTTTGAGTAATGAAAGAAACAGAAAGTATGTCTTGTGTGCCACGTGCTGACACCTGGACCTGTATTTTGACATAATACAGAGGCTAATAGCAGCTTGTGCATATATCATTCTCAGCAACACATTTCTTTTTCTTGGATTCTCTGTGAATTGTTTTCTTCCACTGAGCCTTGGACAACTTTGTCTTATGCCCCATGTATTTCCCATCACTTATTTCCTGCTATCTGTAGTGCTCCTGTTTTGCTCTACCAAAATTACTTTCATTGACAGTCTCATTCCTGTGCTGTTCCCAGTATAGGTGGCCCTCTCAGCATCTCCCTGTAGGCATGCAGCCAGTTCTAAGATGGTCTCATTTCATTAATATGTTTATTCTCTAGCAGATGTTGAAAGATCAAATCCGACTGGCTGCCAAAGAAACTGAGTTAGATGCAATACCTGCAACCAAACTGACAGATTTTAACAGTGTTTGCAAACATGTTCCCTCATGCCTCTGTTCTGGTTTGGTCTGATTGTCATTTTCATCATAGTTCTCATGATAGCCAGACTGTGATATGAGGACTTCACCTACAAATAAGCTCAACCCTGCAAGGTGTTGAGGAAAAAAAAAAAAGTGTGAAAGAAAGAAAAGCACAGTGCAATGAGGACACAGATTCATTTGAAATGGCTTCAAATTAGTGTGTGGTCATTTATCCTGTATTTCCATTAGCCATCAAATAACTCAGTACAAGTTCTACTTGGCAGTTCATCCTGGTTTTACTCTGTTTTGCAGGATAAGCTGATTGTTATCTTTTTCTTCTTTCTTCCCCCTTTCGCTCTACCTTCAGATTTCTCACTGGTATTTATAATACTGATATTTCTAACAGTAATTTGAGACTGCACACTCTTCAATAACATGCAGAAAGAAGTTTGAAGAAAGACTGTATGTTATCAGTGACTTACCCCTTGACTAGTCTCTGTAGTAACACTACATAAATCATGGATTTATTATTTATAAAAGTGCTTTTTCTTTTATTTACACAGGCCATGATGACACTCAAATTAGAGAGGCAGAAACTTACTAAAATAATTCACAATTTTCCCTGTATTCTGTACTCCTAACACAGCAAAATAGTAGCTGATTACATTGTTCTTTTCTATTTCTGCTAATGGTATAAAAAATTTCTGTTAGCATGTTCATTCTATCAATTACTATGTAGAAAACCAGCAAAAAGGTCTGCTGCCTTCAAGTGTTCCTAGAGGTGTAAAATAAGCTCATGAGTCAGAGAGAGAAGGAAGAGGAACGGTTGCCTCCCTTAGGATGGGGAAGGAATGACCCTTCCTATAAAACCATGTATTCCAGCACGGTTTTCTCTCTAGAGGATACAGTAGTTCTTTCAATAAACTGCAGTGATTTAAGAGACTAACTGACTCCAGCACATAGAAATATCTGGTTTGGGGGGAAGATTTAGAACAATAGATGAGAAGCCAGATGTGGTACAACCCAAAACTGATGCATTCACAATGGAGAATTGCTTCTGAAAACATTATTTCTGGCTAGCTGTGGCTTGCCCACAACAACTAGCAAGATAAAGGAAAAAACATCACTATCCTTTCATCATAATAAAAATTTCTTCTTCTAGCTTTTTGTTTTCACCATAATTTTAAGCCAGGTTAGAGGGCAATTTCCTAGTGATGGGAATGCCTAGGAAATACTGGGATTTACGGTATTCATCTTTTCTCATTTTCATAAGCTTCGGTGTTCCTCCTTCATTCAACCTGTAGCCTGTAGCCAAATGACTACCCTTGACATGTTTCAAGAAGGAAAAATATTTTGATGGCTTCCACTGAAAAAAGGCAGAGTCCATATACAAATTTCCATTATTGCTCTCCACCTCTTTTGAGTAGAAAGTCTAAGATGTTTTAGCTGCTGTGGAGGCCCACTGAAGACAGTGGCCAGACTAGAGCTGGGATGACGGTTTGCTATCAAGATTAGCAGCTGCTAAAGCAAAAGAATAACAAACACATGGTAAGTTTAAGGCTCCTTCATTGCTCTAAAGCTGTATAAGAAGTATGTCTTTACCCATAGATAAAGAAATGCAGGAAAAATGTTAATAAATTTTCTTTTACCACTTTTTTGCTAATACAAGAGAGTATAATCTGATTTATTTATGTACTCATTCCATTGACTAGGTAATACTAAGGTACACTTTATAGTCATTCAGAGTTTTTAATTTCAGAAATATTTCTACATCTTCTACACTACAAAAGTGACAA